AAATATAAAATGAAACGCAGTGCGTCTCTGTTTCCGTTGAAAGGTATTTAACCTTCCTCCTGGTGGTAACCATCACCATTGTGGTGAACGCTGTGATTGTCCTCAACGTTTCTCTGCGCACCCCCAATACCCACCTGATGTCCGAGCGAGTCCGACAGGTGAGTCGGAAGGAGGCAGTGCTTTCCACCTGGAAGGGCTGGGCCTTCTCCATTTTCCTGGGCTTTTGTTTTATTTTTGGTACTTTTGAGTCAAGCTGGGGCTGCAGGGTTTTTTTTGGGAAGGGGTTGATTTATTTACTTTGATTTAATTTAAAGGGCTCCTGATATGAAATGGCATCCTACACCAGGGGTATCCAACCTTGGCAACTTTTAAGAGTTGTGGACTTCAATTCCCAGAATTCCCCAGACAGCTATGGCTGGGGAATTCTGGGAGTTGAAGTCCACACTTTATTAAAGTTGCCATGGCTGAGATACAGGGCCCTACCAATATCTTCCTTGCTTAACAACCGTGGCAAAACAAAATCGGGTGTGACTCACTAAAACAAACCGCCTTGCTTAGCAACGGGAATGCCGGTTCCAATTACGGTCGTAAACCGAGGACTGCCGGTCATGGGAAAAGGACATCAGTACAGTGCAGTCCTCAACGTACGTCCACAATTGAGCCCAAAATATCTGTAGTAAGTCGAGAGACGTTGGCCAAGTGAATTTTGACCCGTTTTACGACCTTTCCTGCCACAGCCATTCAGTGGATCCCCGCGGTTGTTAAATCCATCAATGGTGGTTAAGGAAATCGGGCTTCCCCATGGACTTTGCTTGTGAAAAGGTCGCAAAACGGGATCGCCTGACCCCAGGACGCTGCAGACCGTCCTAAACACGAGTCAGTTGCCAAGCGTCTCAATTTGGAGCACGGAAAACGGTCACAACGCGCTTTTTTTCCAGTGCCGTTGTAACTCTGAACGGTCACTAAACGAACTGCTGTAAGTCGAGGACTACCTGTGTTTGGGGTCTTCCCTGCCCCCCCCATCCTCCCGTGAACAAACGGTGGCATCCTTCGGAAAGTTTTCTCGGCGTTCCTTTCTGCTCCCTCTTCCCAACATGTTTCAGCCCCTGGCTCTGTAGGTCTTCCTGCACCTGGTGCCCCATTACCTGGGCATGCACAGGAGACGCCTCCCACTTCCCGCCGAGAACCGGCCCGCGCGACGACGGAGTTCCCTGGGGCTCATGGCCAAAGCTGAGGAATACATCCTGTGGAAAGCCCGGAGCGAACTCCTGTTTGAGAGACAGAAGGAACGAGACGGGCTGATGAAGATACTCCTGTCCAAAATCGGTGAGCTTCTGGAAGGCCGGAGGGGACCTTGGCTGGGTTAATAGGCTAAAACATAGAAGGAACGGGTGCTGGAATTGGGTATGTCTAGTTTAATGAAGAGAAGGGGGGGGGGGGACATGATAGCAGTCTTTCAGTCTCTCAGGGGCTGCCCCAAAGAAGAGGGAGTCAAGCTATTCTCCAAAGCGCCTGAAGGTAGGACAAGAAGCAACGGATGGAAACTCATCAAGGAGAGAAGCAACCTGGAACTAAGGAGGAATTTCCTAGCTGTGAGGACAATTAACCAGTGGAACCACCTGCCTCCAGAAGCGGTGAATGCTCCAACACTGGAAGTTTTTAAGAAGAGACTGGACAGCCATTTGTCCAAAATGGTATATGGTTTCCTGCCTGAGCAGGGGGTTGGACTTGATGACCTCCAAGGTCCCTTCCAACTTTATTATTATTATTATTATTATTATTATTATTATTATTATTATTATTATTATTATTATTATTATTATTATTATTATTATTATTATGCAATGGTTTGGGAAGGTCAGAATAAGAGAGTTGGAAGGGACCTTGGAGGTCTTCTAGTCCAACCCCCTGCTCAGGCAGGAAGCCCTATAGTATAGGCATTGCATGCCAAAACAACCAGAAAGCAAAGACAGTCCCCCCCCCCCCGTCACCATGCTATCACTCTGCTAAACAACTAATTCCCACAACACTGTCTTATGCGCTGGGATGTCAAAGTACCTAGTAGGGCTGTATTACTATTATCCTTCTCATCTTTCCTGTTACCTATTTCCTGAGCTTCTGGTGACTATAACTCATGATTTGTGTTGATTGCTTTTATTTAGTATTCTACTAGGATTTATGTTGATTGCTTACTTAGCATTCTGTGACTATAACTCCGTTGCTTGTATCTTACAATTTATGTTGAAGGTTTCTTATGATTATAATCATGGTGTCATGTTTATTATTTGTTGCTTATATGTACAATGAGAGCTTCTGCACCGGAGACAAATTCCTTGTGTGTCCAATCACACTTGGCCAATAAAGACTTCTATTCCGTTCTGTTCTGTTCCATTTCGTCCCGTCCCATCCCATCCCATCCCATCCCATCCCATCCCATCCCATCCCATCCCATCCCATCCCATCCCATTCTATATCCCATTCCATTCCATTCTATTTTATATTCCATTCCGTTCTGTTCCATTCTATTATCCTATCCTATCCTATCCTATCCTATCCTATCCTATCCTATCCTATCCTATCCTATTCTATTCTATTCTATTCTATTCTAACACATCACATCCTACATTCCATTCCATTCTATTTTATATTCCAGTCCATTCCAGTCCAGTCTATATTCTGTTCTGTTCTGTTCTAGTCCAGTCTAGTCCAGTCCAGTCCAGTCCAGCCTAGTCCAGTCCAGTCCAGTCCAGTCCATCCCATCCCATCACATTACATCACATTCTATATTCCATTCTATTCTATTTTATATTCCAGTCCGGTCCAGTCCAGTATAGTCTCTATTCTATTCTATTCTATTCTATTCTATTCTATTCTATTCTATTCTATTCTATTCTATTCTATTCCAACACATCACATCACATCACATCACATCACATTACATCATTCCTATTCCTATTATTCCTATTCCTGTCCTGTCCTGCTCTGCTCCATTCTGTTCTGACGGAAGAGCATTAGAATTCCATGCAGAAATTGCCATTCTTCAGAGGCCCTCTTGTTCTTGTTCTTTGCCTTGTTCTTTGATGTTTCTCTCCTTTGATTTCCATTTCAAGGAGAAGGCTTGGAGAACGGAGGTCCCCAGGACTTCTGCAACAGCCTACGCCACGCGGCTCCGGAAATCCAGTCCTGTGTGAAAGCCTGCAACCACATCACCAAGACTTTGCGAGAGAAGAACGATTTTGACAGCGTAAGTGCCATGGCAACAGGGAGGCTGGATTCGCGTGGGCAGGTTCCACTTCCCATCTGTAAGTCGAGTTAAAACAGCAGGCACGGTCAACATCTGGGCAGATGTCCTGGCAACTGCGAGCTTGCGTGGGATGGGGGTATAAGGAAAAAAGGAGAACCTGGAAAAGGCCCAGGCTGCGTGTCTCTTTCAAAAGGGATCCCCCCCAAATTTGAAAGAAGAGGAGGACATGCTGGAAACGGGTTGTGGAATCAAAGCAGGAAAGAGTAAAGTGGTAGTAGATACTCCAAGAAATAAAAAAAGTACTCCGTGAAACTGAAGAGAGGAAAGATGGTTAGCTTACAGCAGTCTTTCTCAACCTTAGCTACTTTTCGAGGTCTGGACTTCAACTCCCAGAATTCCCTAATCAGGACACCATCTACCAGAATTCCCTAATCAGGGCTTCATCTCCTAGAATTCCCTAATCAGCACGGGATGTCCAGATGGCAGTGAGGTCATCCAGATAGTTGCAGCCCCAGATGTGGTAGCCAGCAACAACCGGGGGGTCAAAAAAGTCAAAATGGTAGCCAGGACTGATAGTACTTGCAGCTCCCATCTTGCTTTTTTTTTTTTTAACTTCCCCTTGCCAATGGCCCTGCACACAAACCATATTAGGGCAGGCAGTCCTCGACTTACGACCACACATGAGCCACAATCCTGGTTCCAGTGATGGGAAAAGGACCTCAGTACAGGCAGTCCTCGACTTACGACCACAATTGAACCCCAAATGTTTGTCGCTAAGCCAGACGGGTGTTAAGGGTGTTTTTTTGTCCCATTTTGCGACCTTTCTTGCCACCGTTGCTAAGCGAATCGCTGCGCTTAGATTAGTGATGCAGTTGAGGGAATCGGCATTGCGCGGCATTGGGGGGGGAAAGGAACTTACGGCTGTTTTTCACACTTACGACCATCGCAGCTTCCCCCGTGGTCCGAATTCAACGCTTGGCAACCGGGCCTGTATTGATGATGGCTGCCGTGTCCTGGCATCGGTTTTTGAAAAACTCACTTAACAACTGTCTCGCTTAGCAGCGGAAATGTTGGGCTCGGTTCTGGTCGTAAGTTGAGGACTCCCTGTATAATCCCGGATACCTGTCGGTTCATTCCAGGAACGCTCCAAATTTCGAAGTTTACATGGCTGTTTGTGGAGGTTGATGCCCACCTCTGGAGCTTCCCTGCCTGTTCTTCCGTGTCTCGGTGAGAGGCAGGTTAAAAGACCTTTTTTTTTAAGAAAAAAAAAGGGAAAATTGGAAATCTCGCTATTTAGGTTCATTCCTTTGGAAAAGAAATAGACATTTATCAGCATTTTCTCCTAGACCCAAATCCGAGAAGCAATCAGAGCCACTTTCATCTATTCTCTCTGGCAAGCCGAAATTGATCATCAGATTGGAGCTGGGTCTATTTTCAACCTCTCTCCTTATTTCCCTCATTTGGATTTCATAAATAAGTTAGATTTAAAGTGCCGGAAAACAAATTGTTCTGCGGGGGAAACTTCTTTTTGTTCCGTGTTTTGGCATGAAAGGTGTCCCACTTGTCGGCCGTGTCACGGCCTTTGAAAAATTCTATTTTTTTCTGTAAAAAGGAAGGGGGTTTTTTCCCCTCCCCCTCCTTCTTTCTTACAAAGGTTTCCAACTCAGTGGAAAGTTGGGTTAGCTGCCCCCTTCTCCAACAAGGACACTGGGAAGGGTGTGTGCTTGTGTCAAAATCAGCAAGATGAGGGGGGCCAAGTTTGAAGACCCCTGCTTGTGAACTTCAACTCCCAGAATTCTTCAGCCAGGCACGCTGGCCGAGGAATTCTGGGAGTTGAAGTTCACAAGTCATAAAAGGGCCCAGTTTGAAGACCCCCGTCTTAAATCTAACAAACAAAATGGAGGCTGGCTGAGGAATTCTGAGAGTTGAATTTCACAAGTCATAAAAGGGCCAGGTTTGAAGACCCCTGTCTTAAATCTAATAAACAAAATGGAGACTGGCTGAGGAATTCTGGGAGTTGAAGTCCTCAAGTCATAAAAGGGCCAAGTTTGAAGACCCCTGTCTTAAATCTAACAAACAAAATGGAGGCTGGCTGAGGAACTCTTGGGAGTTGAAGTCCACAAATCATAAAAGGGCCAAGTTTGAAGGCCCCTGACTTCTCAAAAATCCCCCAAAGATAGCCTCGACCTAGTTTAACAATTTCCCAACCTTGGCAACTTTAAGATGGCGTGGGCTTCAACTCCCAGAATTCCACAGCCATGTATGCTTTTGGGGGAATTCTGGGAGTTGAAGTCCACGTGTCCATGCTGTGAAGCCCACACGTGTGAGGAGAAAAGCTGGATCATCCTTTGTGTGTGTGAAAGCAATGGGAGCTGCAACCATGATGGAAATCCTGCTCTTCTTTTAATTTGTATCACACACACATATGCGGTGGCCATCTTGACTTTTTTGACTCTTCGATGGGAAGGCAGAATTTGAGTTGCCTTTTTGAAACGACCGGGAAGCCTTGGATGGCATACAACTGTGGTTCTACATTATACAACCCTAGTTATCAGGATGTCTCCTATGGGCCCACTGTTCTTCTCCATTTGGAGAGATTCTGCCTTGCGGTTCTCCTGACTTTTCCTTCCTTCCAGGAAAATTAACACTTTTTTTCCCCCAAGTTCCCTTGATTTTTTTTTCTTTCTTTCCAGGAAAATGAAGAATGGATCCTGGTGGGGAGAGTCATTGACCGGGTCTGCTTCCTCATCATGGCCTCCGTTTTTATCTTTGGCACCGTTGGGGTCTTCCTGATGGCTCAGTTCAACCAAGCTCCGGGAAAACCTTTTGTGGGAGATCCAAAGCGATATCTGCCTTAGAAGTGAGCCAGGAACTGGATTCAGATTTCAAGTGGATCCTCTGCTTGGAGGAATATTGTACAGAGAACCAGGCTGCAGTGTAAGGCTTTGGGGGGGGGTCTAACCTAGGAACTCTGGACTTCAGCCATCTTGCAGAAATACGCCTGTTTCTCAACCTCGACAACTTGACGAAGCATGAACTTCAACTCCTAGAATCCCCCAACAGCCTTGATCAAGAGCCTTTGGCCCGCTCAAGAGCCAAACCTGCGTGATTTGTATGTTGTATACTACGTTGTATATAGTATGTTTAAATGCATGTTGGGTATGTGTACACCAGGGGTAGTCAACCTTGGCTCTTTTATGACTTGTGGACTTCAATTCCCAGAATTCCTGAGCCAGCTAAGCTAAGCTGGCTCAGGAATTCTGGGAATTGAAGTCCACGAGTCATAAAAGAGCCAAGGTTGACTACCCCTGGTGTACACTTTGAGAGCAAGCAACTGCATTTCATTTTTAATCTGTGCCATTGTGCCCACAGTAAAAAAAACAAAAAAACGACAATAAAGCTTACCTATCTATTTGTGTTTGGGATTGGTGTTAAAGCTGTGTTTGTCAGTCTGGGTAACTCTAAACTCAAAACTTCCGACGGGAAGGTTTGGACTGCCTTTCTGAATATTTGGTCAAGCTCAATTTGATTTGACTCGTTGTGGAGGGAATTGCCTCAAGGGGAAAGATACTACCCAGACGACAATTGGATAACAGAAAGCTGAGTCTAGAGCAGAACTGTAACCTGAGAAAGCATCTCAGACAAAATCCTGCCTGGTTCTCATGAAGATAAAGGCAGAGAGGGGGAAAGCCTAATTCAGACTAATTCTGTTACAATAACTTTACAATAACATTAGTATTGGCCTACATCAGAGGTCCCCATCCTTGGCAACGTTAAGACTTGTGGACTTCAACTCCCAGAATTCCTCAGCCACCCAAGAATAGAAGGAGAGGAGAGGAGAGGAGAGGAGAGCTGGAAGGGGCCTTAGAGGTCTTCTCATCCAACCCCCCCACTTAGGCATGATGAGAGCTGGACACCCCCTCCTCATCCCAGCGAGGGAATAGCCAGGCAAACACACCTGATTCAGCAGCAGCCTGAGGCTAGGTGGCAACACACACTAAATGGAGAACTGGCTAGCAGCAATTAGGATTAACGAACACACAACAATAAAGCCATTAAACACCTTTCAGGCAGGATTAGGAAGGAAATTTGCCCAACAAAAGTCACTGACCAGCAAATCAGAAAAG